TTTTTTTTTTTTTTTTTTTTGGTACTGGAGATTGAACTCAGGACCTTGCACTTGCCAGGTAGGCAGCAAAACCACTGAGCTAAATCTCTGGCCCAAGTATGCACTCTTAGCAGTGTGCTATACTCCTGGCCCCTGGGTCTGTTTGTATAATGATTGGCAGTGCTGAGTTTGTCATGTTGGGGCCTTTTTAACATAACATACCAAATCATAGACATATGATTATCTAATAATAAATTTAAGTAGTATCTCTTTAAATTAAAATTACTTTATAAATATGATAACATTATATCCCAGTACTTCTGTAAATACTTGCAGGCTAATAATAGAAGTTTCTTTTTAAAAACTGTATTTATGTTTATCTGTTTTATTTCTCTCCCTGTTCTCCTCTTTTATGGAGTATTAATTGTGTTCTTTAGGTAATGGCAAAGTATGTTATTAGCTTAGTATTACTTTATATGTGTATGTGTACATATATATATGTATATATATATGTATATATGTGTATATATACATATATATGTACACACACAAAGAAAAAATTTAATAGCAAGTGACAAATCAATGTATACTGCTTTCAGTACATTTTTACATATTTCCATGAGACAGAAAATGTGAGTAAAGCATAAGCAAAGTCCTTTAAGTGGCTCAGTAACAAGGAGTACTTCTAGAAGAAATATGTTTTGAACAAGATTTTATGAGAAAGTACAAATATACATATACATTATTTGTTGGGGAGCCATATTAGAAGGAGAGTTGGGTGTTAACAAAAAGAAAGATATCTCTTGGAGGTAGTTACACAGAAACTTGGAGTGGAGAAGGCATGTTAGGGGGTAGTGATAGGTGAATTTATTGAGATGTAGATTCAGCTTTGCTCCCCACATTTTGCCTGAATGTACTGCTGGATCCTAAGAAAAAAGTAAAAGAGAAAAAGAGAAGGTGCTTGTACTGGAGGAAAGTCCGGTTTTGCTGATGAGGCAAGGCATCAGGAGCCCTGGAAGCCAGTGAGAGTGGCTTGGGTTTTACATGGTGTGTGAGGGAGGAGCTTTGGAGACCCTCGGGTATCATCCTGCCTCTATCGTCTGTTCAGGAGAGAGAGAATTCTGAAATGGGAAAGACCAAATTGAGCAGGTGGCTAGGTTCCAAAAATCAGTATTTGTAGCTATATATAATCAATTAGCAGAAGAGCTTTTTCTCACATAAAACTACTTTGAATTACTTTATAAAAAATGGGCTGCCTAAAATCTTCTGCTCACAATTAACAATTAATGGAAAAACACTTATTTGTTCTTGAAGGCAGCATTTAATGTCAGTAACTTCAGGCTGTTTCCAAATTTACAGTATATTTTTTGCATTGAAACTACATAATTTAGGAAGCTACTTTAGTCCATTGTTTTTTCTTTTTAATGAAAAGATGGTGTGGGTAAACTGAAATAATGACATTCTTTTTCTGCATCAAAATACTAGCAATCCTAACGATTCCATTTTGTCATTGTCACTTTCAAAATAAAAGAGTGATGTCAAGTTATATATGGCAACATTTTGTATTACATTAAGCATATTATAGTTTTAGAATTGTTGATATGGCAAATCAGGTTTTGCTTTTATTGTATCAGTTTATCTCCATCTTGGCCAAACTTGAGAGACAGAATTTCCAAATTTTTGTTGCCATCTAATACATCCTCTGGCAATTGTTTGGTTTTATGTATTCATAATATTTAGATTTGTGTTTCTTCTCTTCTTTTTATCTGCCTCTTTGCTACTTGCAGACTGTTCTGTGGTTTCCACTATCTCCTCTAATCTTCTGGTGGGAAGTTTTTTGAGTCTTTGCTTTCGTAGATTGACATTTGAGGCGTATTTAAGTGCCTTACCACATGCCTGGGTTTATGTGGATTTTGACCAACCTGGATTGGCGGTAGATCTCTGTAAGGCACCAGCACAAAAACAACAGGAATCCTGAGGTCTGGAGTCTGTTTGTGTTGCAGTTGTCCACTTGTCCCTTGGAAGGACTGTCCCAGAAAGACATTGTTTAAGGGATATCTCCCTATAGCTGCCTGAGCTTTCGTGTTCTGATTTCCTTTTGTCTGGGGAAGAACATCATTGAAGTAAGGTTTTACTCCTGTTATGGCGTTTATTTCATATGCATTGTGCCTGTCAGCCAAGGCTCTCCCTGTTAAAATGGGCTGGAAAGCAGCTGATCCTGAGATACCCTTAACAAAGTTGTTAAGGAGAGAATGCCACATCCCACCACTTACTGGACTCAGTGTTACCTGGGGCCACAAGCTGGCCAAGCTCTTGAGAGCTTCGCGGTTCCATGCTGAGGAAGGAAATTCATTTTCAGTATGATAGAGCTGAGAAAAGTAAACACTAAGAGTGATATCTGGATACATCATCAGGAAGTTGTACATTTTGCTGATGCAACAGTGATTAGCCTCATTACAAGGGGAGTTGTTTGAATACAGAATGATATGCTTAATGCTGCTGTTATTGTATATTGCTGTGTCAAGATAACCATTCATCTCAAATAGCATTGATTCTGGGTGGGTTTGATTCCTGGTGCAGTTGCTAGCGTGCCCTTTTTGGACCAGGGTACCAGAAGAAGTTTTTAGTTCATAAAATGTGAGGTGTTTTGTTGGAGGATACGTTGGCCCATAAGGAAAGCCAAAAATCTGATGAAATTCTGCGTAGGGAACTCTTGCTTCCTCACCTGTCCGGATATGGTAAGGACAGTTAATGCAGTCTAGAGAGAAATTTAACCAGTGATAGGGTTTGACTATTGTTCCACCATGTGTGAGATATTCCTCATATAAGGGCTCCATTGTCAGTGTTGCTATCTTCTACTGTAACCCTAAACAAGAAAGAGAAATTGCGTATAAAGCCATTGCAGGAAGAACCCAAAGACAATGCATTTATTAAGTCATACCTTTCTGTAAAGGAAGTAGAACATGTGTAGCAACTATTCTAGCTTCTTTGATTCTAAAAGATAGTGACATACATGAATAGATTAAAAAGCTCAAGATTCAGTTTTATTTATTGAGGCTGCAGGAGGACGGGGAGGAGACACAGATAGGTGAAAATACAACTTCACCTGTTTCATGGATTCCAAATTAGTATAGCAAAAGGGTTAACAGTGCGAGTTCTAGAAATAAAGTACCTTATTTTAAACCTGAGCTCTGCCACTTAACCAGCTTGGCGGCCTTTGGTAAATTGACACCTGGGAACCACAGCTTCCTTGTCTGTAAAATGGAGATTGAAATAGCACACACATCATAAGTTTGCCTTGGGACTAAATAATGAAACAAATATAAATGCTTTACTGTGTGCCTGACAAATATTAGTTCTTGGCAAATATTAGTTCTTAGCAATAGTAGTACAAATTTCAAATCTAGACATTTCATGTTTATGAAAGAACATAGAAATGAATAAGAATTTTGCATATTGTTCATGATTCCTTCCTTTGTCTCTTCCCTAAAGATGGAGCAATAATACATTGTGCAAAGGTTTTGAATGTGCTTGCATTTAAAATCAGCTACTTCTTAAAAGCATTGATGAAGTTACTGTCCATCTGAGGGTCTTGAGGTCTAAATTTTTCTTAATAGAAGAGGTAGAAGTGCCACTTGTGTGCTCTTTGAGTCACAGACACTCCTTCTCTAACCTTTGAGAGAGTATTTCCAATGGGTAGGCCTTGTTAATGGATTTTTGAAAAATTATTACTGTGGAAAGCAAATAGGTATTGTTTACAGTATTTCAGCTTAGTAGTTTCTGGTATGTTCAAACCCCATTGTTAAGATTTTTTTCTTTAAAATATTCCTTCAGTTAGCATTGTTTCCAAGCCACTATGTAGGGCATTTAATATAGTTTTAAAAACATTTAAAATGAACATTTTATTATGTAAGTGTCATGTTTCTTGTAGAAAAAATTTAAATGTACTGATAGGTGAAGTAGAAAGACATCTCATTGGTTTGTTTCAGTTTAAATACCAATTACTGATAACAGATCTATTTCCTTTAGTCTTGATATATATAAATAAAATATATAACATAAATAAAGTTGTTTTATACCCTGCTTTTTCACTTAGTTTTGTGTCACAGCATTTTTCCTCTGTCATTAAACATTCTTCAAAAAACACCATATCCCTGGTAATTAGTATTGTCTTATATAACTGCAACATTTAGTTTATTTCCTCTTTTGATTATTATAAGTAACATTTTGGTGAATGTTTTATAAATTTCTATATGTTCAATTCTTCTCTTCAGTCTAAATTATGATAAGTCATAGAATTAGGTCAAACCCTGTCAAATTGCTTCCAAGGAAATTGTACCAATATTATCAGTTTCTCTCCTAATGAAGTTTATCACACCAGTGCCGATTTGAGAAGTAAGCATTGATATAAGTTTTTTGTTATAATGTATACCTTTTCTATTCCTAGTAAGATGGAACATATTTCACATGCTTGTTGGTCTGTATTTATTCTATCAAATGTTTTTGACCCCTCACTTCACCTTTTTTAAAAAAAAAAAGATTTTTTTCTTTGTTGATTTTGAAAAGCTTTTTATTTATCAAGAATATTATCTGTCAGATTTCTTGAAAATATTTCTCTTGGTTTATAAAGCCTTCTAATTATGCTGGTATTTTAATTGCACCAAATTTTACCTTTTGTGAAGTTTCAAACATTATTTTACAGTTTGTTTTTTCTTTTTTTATTTGGAAAAGCTTTCTTCATGATAGTATAATTAAGTGTTCCTCATATTTTCTTCTTTTATTTATGGTTTCATTGTTTACATTTAATTTTGTCCAGGTAGCAAAACAGGCAAGGATGAAAATACAGTGAAGTAAACTGATGATTGCAGCAAAATATATTTTTCACTTTTCAATGTCAAATTCTCAGGCATTTGTTATGACCTCCCACACAGAAGCACGTTGATCAACTTCTGTCTTGTTTAACCCAGATCAACTCAGTCACTGCTGTATTTAATACAGTTTGTATTGGACTGACGAAAACTATAGAGTTCCTATGCTAATCCTGTCCTGGGCTTTAAGAGCATCAGGATATAATGTCTTTATCCATGTTACCACTATCTTAGCAGCTAACAGCCCCACAGTAACTCTGGTTCCACGTACCACCTAACCTCTGCCATGAAATTAAATGTTTGTTTACTTTTTTCTTTGGTACCATTTTCCTGATGCAAGTGAATTCCTGCCCTTGAGGGTCCTTAGTCACTGGAATAGTTTTTCCTCCAGGAATCTGGATTTAACCCTTGGCAATTGTCGTATCTCTGGGAAACTAACACTGTTTCCGGGTGCTTGATCCTGGACCTTGTTTCTTCCTTGGATTTCTTCCTCTCAACTCTACTCATCAGACCAAGTCTCTCTTTCAAAACTTGCTTAAACCAATCCTAAATTCTGTGTTTTCAGTATTGTACCCTTAATCCTGTTGATTCATGGATAACATACACCTGATATGCCAGTTATCACTCAAATTATAATTTCTACCCACCGTTAGAAAATTTACAGTTTGATTTGGCTAAATGTTATAGAAGTTGTACCAAGAGACCCTTTCTACATTTGTAATTATTATTATTTTTTTAATACTGGTTTATGTGTAGAGTTAACTCTATATAATGCTTTTGTACTTACCTTTTAGGAAAGTGAAGATCTTTGTGTCTTTTAAGATAAAGGCAGCAAAATAGAAACTTCCAGATTGCTTTACTGAACTCCTCTTCCTTATACCCCCACTGCTATTGCATTATTGTCTTTAGAGAGTCTGGCGACCAGTAGTGTTGACACATAATAGAGGGAGTTCTGGAGTCTCATTTTTTCAGTGTCTTTCCAGTGCCAATGAACTTTGCATCCCTGTTGATGAAATCTTCACTTTTTTAAGGTCTTTGTGTTTCTTTGATCAACCTTGTCTGAAGAAGAAGCATGAAATCACTCTTACCTCTTTGGCCTCTTACAGAATTCACAATGTACTGTGTCAATTTGTCATCGATTACAAACTATCTTGTATGTAGTTAACTTTTAGTATCTGTTCCTTTATTCTCCCCTGACAGGCAGAGATGTGCCCTGTGTAGCTCAGGGCCTACTTCATTGACCTTGACTGGTTCTCCATCCAAGTGGGTAAAGACTTGTTTTCCCAGATGCCTGTGTCCCTACTACCTACTCCTTTCGCTTCTACATTGTGCTTGGGAAGTACATGGTGCCTTCTGTAGATCTTCTGTCAGGGAGAACTAAGGTCTGAGAAGCCCATCTGTTAAATGATCCCAAACTGGGGCTGCATGGGTAGGGTAGGGTGGGATGGGTAAGCCTTCCCTAGTTTTTAAAAAATGACCACACTGGGGAGATAGTCTTCTCTCATTTTAGCCAACCAGGATTTAGTGAGCACTGTTTTTTTCTGTTTTTGTTTTTGTTTTTGGTACTGGGTATCAAACTTGGGATTTTGTGCTTGCGAGGCAGGCAGCAGAACCACTGAGCTAAATCCCCAGCTAGTGAGTACTGTTAAAGCAGTTTGCACTGGAGGAATTGGAGAATAGAGTTTGCCCTTAACAATCTGTACACAGTCTGTTAGCAGCTAAAAACAAATGTTAGTGGTTATAATTACCGTCATTTTCTCTCCAGGCTTGGATCTGATTCCAGGTATTATAGGAGATGATCCATTTCCTTTTCTTTGTCCCCTCTAAGGCCTTGTTTCAAGTAGCTTCGGAGGGCAATGCGGTAAAGATTCTCCTTCTATGTTGGTTCAGGACTCTTTTTATAGTTTGTGTCTGTTAGTTCACTTGAACTTTGCTGTCCAAAGTTAGACCTTGCTGAGGTGTGGCTGTCTCTAAGAACACTGTTGAATTGGTGCCATGGTAACGTTTGCAAAGTAGCTACTGCTAGGATACAGCTCTGCCACTTATTACTTTATTTGCATATGAAACCTCCTGTTCCAAAGATGAAAATATACATGACTGCATATTCCAGTCTGGATGAAAAGGTGGTAGCTGACTGTTTAAATGGGCACGATAGAATTTTTCTCCCTGTGCTTGTAAAGTACAAAGTCTGAGACCCTCTTTTCAGCACCTTCCTCCTGGCCTAGAGTATATACAGGCATGGTGTGTGGACAAGATCTTGGCAGGTCTGTGGCCTGTGTAGGTGCCAGAGCTTCTCCTAGGGAGATGACTTGACTTCTTCAGAGCCAAGTTCAACTGATAGACCCACAGGTCCCAAAGGGAGAATTCTTAATTCTTTCTAGACCTGAGTTTTTACTGTTGGTAGTTTCTGGCCTCTAGAAGTTCCCTGGAGAACTCTGGATTTTGGGGGTGGATGTGGGGCCTTTCAGTTTAAGACTCACTTTGCTCCTGGATCAGTGGTTTCCTTTGCTCTGTGGTGGATGGAAGAGTTACTTGTCCTTTTGCGTTCTTTTCCTCTGCCTCCTCCCCTTCACCTTCGCCTTGACCCCAGACATACTGATAGTTGTAATTCATTGGGTTCACTTTTTCTTTTCTTTTCTTTTCTTTCTTTCTTTCTTTCTTTCTTTCTTTCTTTCTTTCTTTCTTTCTTTCTTTCTTTTTTTGGGGGGGGATGGTACTGGGGATTGAAGCTACAATCTTTGAACTGATTTGCATTCCCTCCCCAGTTTTATTTTTTATTTTGAGACAGTCTTGCTAAATTGCCTAGGCTGGGTTCGAACTTGTAATCTTGCCTCAGCTTCCCAGAGGTGTGCTCCATGAAGTTCAGCTTACTGTACTTACTCTTGATTATTCCCTTATTCCTCATCCTCACACCTCTTGAAGGAAAGAGTGGAGACTGATATTGTATATTTCCATTAGTTACTACCAACAGTTCTTAAGCGCATGTACTCTGAGGAATGTACCCTCAGGAGTGATGAGGACCGGAAGCCACCTTCTGCCTTCCTGCAACATTACCGCTCTTAACTTGCCTCCAATTGCCAGACTTCAGCAGCCTCTGCAGCAAAAGTTCTCCTTTGTCTGGGGGCTCCTGCTGGGCTTCATATTTCATTTTGGTCTTTGTGCTCTCTGAGGGTCTCAAGGACACTTACTAACATCTCAGATAGTAGTTTTCCATTTATACTTTGCTTGTTACTGCCTCTAGTTTATCCTCTGTTGTCTCTTCCTTTCCCCCGTGTGCTCTGGATTGTGCCCTTGTGGTTCCCATTGTGCCTCCTACCTGAGTGAACATGCAAATATAAAACTGAAAGCTGGTCCTCAGAGCTTGTCTCTTATTTAACTCTATTGTACTTTATTTTTTGTACGGGGGATCAAACTTGGGACCTTGTGCTTGTGAGGCAGATGGTGGCACCACTGAGCTAAATCCCTGGCCCCTTTATTATACTTTTAATTGTATATTTTCAAGAATTTTAGTAAATGGGCCAGGGATTTAGCTCAATGGCACAGTGCTTGCCTGGCAAGTGTGAGTTTCTGAGTTTGATCCCTGGTACCCCCCAAAAGAATTTTAATAAATGATTCTTTAAATTTTATAATTTTAATGATAATTATAAAATATTAGACTACCATTAGCCTGATTACAAAATCAGACAAGGATCCAACTCCCAAAAAAGAGAACTGTGGACTAATCTCTTCAATATAGATGCAAAGATCTTTAGCAAAGAGAATCCATTGAATCACCAAAAAGACTATACATCATGGTCTTGTAGGGTTTATCCTAGGGATGCAAGGATGGATCAACATACACAGATCAATAATGTAATACATCACATAAGTAGAAGAAAGGACAAAAATCACATGATCATCTCAGTAAGTGCAGAAAAAGCCTTTAACAAAATCTTACATCCTTTCATGATGAACCCACTAAGAAAGAAATTAGAAAAAAATACTCACAATAGCACCTAGAAAAATTAAATGCTTAAGAATTAACCTAACTAAGGAAGTAAAAGATCTTTACAGTGAGAACTACGAAACTTTGAAGAATGAAATTGAAGAGGATATCAGAAATTGGAGTTATATCTCCTATTCCTAGGTAGACAGAACTAATGTAGTCAAAATTGCCTACATCCAAAATTGATATACAGATTTAGTGCAATCCCAATCAAAATTCCAACAGTGTTCTTCACAGAAGTAGAGAAAACACTCCTAAAATTCATGTGGAACCAAAAGAGACCTAGAATAGTAAAAGCATCCTGGGTAAAAAGAGTAGAGCAAGAGGCATCACAATCCTGGACCTGAAGTTATATTACAATGCTACTGTGATAAAACCAGCATGGTATTGCCCCCCCAAAGATCAATAGAACAGAATAGAGAATGCAGAAACAACCACAGCAGGCACATTCAACTATTTGATTATTGGGTGATTGCCCTACAAGTTATCGGGGGATGCCTGATTGCCTGACTCAGGTTATAGCAGAGGATGAGAGAATAATAGAACAAAGAACATAGAAGAAAGAATAAATGATAGTTTATTACTTGGCGGGGCCAGGATCTGATCTTATCTCTCTGGCTAAGACCATGATCCCCCATAGCAGGAGGTATAAAGGCAGATGTAAGAAATAGCAGAACTAATGCACTAATGAGCCAGGCTGTAAAGATTTGTGTGTGTGTGTGTGTGTGTGACAGGTCATGGTTAAGCCACCTGTGTTATCATGCAGGCTGTAGTTTTTTTTTTTGTTTGTATTTATTTATTTTTGAGACAGGGTCTTTCTGTATAGTTGTAGCTGACCGTGAACGCACTGTGTAGCCCAGGCTGGCCTTGAAATCATAGTTATCCTCCTGCCTTAGCCTCCTGAGTACTGCGGTTACAGATCTGCCCCACCAGGTCCAGTTTTGCAGGTTGTGGTTAACAAGCCACCTGCATTGTCTTTAGCTAACATTTGATCTGGGAGAATGGCTGCATAGAGTCATAATTCTTCAGCTGCAGTGTCATCTTGCTGTTAGAGATGTCACAATCTCATCTCTTCTTGAGATTCCAGTTGTGACCGTTGGTGTCAGAAATTCTGTCTCTGTATGCCAGTTGAAGGCTCATTTAGCAAGTCACATGTAGGCCTTGGATTGACTTATAATTTTAATCAGTAATCAAAGTATAAGCCAATTCAAAATATCTTAAAGCCTGCTCAGTGTGGTTTCATGCTGGTCTCCTGAATTTGATCTTTTGACAAAAGAGCCCAAAACATACAATGGAGAAGAGATAGCCTCTTTAAATAAAAGGTGTTGGGAAAACTTGACTATATATATGCAGAAGATCGAATCTAGACTGATATCTTTTACCATGTATTAAACTAAAATCGGAATAGACCAAAGAACTAAATGTTAAACCAGAAGCACTTAACCTACTGGATGAGAAGATTGGTAAAACTCTTGAAGTCATAGGTGTAGGCAAGGACTTTCTGAACAGAATCCTGGTTGCACAGGAAATAGTACTGAGAATCAACAAATGGGATCACATCAAATTAAAAAGCTTTTAAACAGCAAAAGAAACAACCCGTAGAGTGGGAAAAAGTTTTCACCAGTGATTCCTCCAACAGGACTTATATCTATTTAGAATATAAAGAACTCAAAATACCACTAAGTGCCCCCACAAAAGACAGCCAAAAAATGGGCAAATGAAATGAAAAGACACTTCACAGACGAAGTGCAGATGGACAATAAATATATGCAGTAATACTTCACATTGCTGGCCATTAGAGAAATGCATATTAAAGCAACCTGAGATTCCATCTTGCCCAGGGAAGGAAGGATGGCTATCATTAAGAAATCAAACAGTAACTAATGCTGGTGAGGCTGCGGGTGCGGGGAGGAAACGCTGCTACACTGCTGATGGAAATGTGTAGTACTTCTACTGAAGTCAGGGTAGAGATTCCTCAAAAAAGCTGAAATGAGAGGCTCTATTTGTCTCAGCTATTCCTTTTCTGGGTATCTTTTCAAAGGAGTTAAATGCACCGCATTATAGTGATATATGCATATCTATGTTTATAGCTGCCCAATTCATAATCGCTAAAGCTCCGAGGTGGCCTGTATGTTTACAGTAGGTACTATCCCGCCATAAAGATAAACTCCACACACTTGTAGGAAAATGGGTGTGCCTAGAGACCATGATGTTAAGTGAAATAAATCCAACACATAGCTTAAATACCACATTTTTTCTTATATGAAAAACTCAAAGCATAAATAAAGAGAAAAATTTAAAAATAGATAAGAAGTAGTAAGGGGAAGGGGATAAAGAGAGGGAGGGAGAGGAGGAGAGGGAAGGATAGGGGATGAAAAAGGAATGAAGGACTGGGGATTTATCTCAGTGGTTCCACTGCCTGCCTTGCAAGCACAAGGTCCCAAGTTCAATCCCTGTCACCAAAAAAAAAAAAAAAAAAAAAAAAAATGGAATGAAGATGTGTTATGTATGTGTACCATCTCCACACAAGGAATGGGAAATGTAAACATCTGTACTGCAAGCATAAAAAAAAAGAAGGGGATCAAAAATTTTTTGAGATAGGTTCTCACTAAGTTGTGTAGGCTGGACTCAAACTTGTAATCCTCCTACCTCAGCCTCCCAAAGTGCTAGAATTACAGGTATGCACCACAGATAGATATTTTGAAATACACAATTGTTATCAACCATAGTTACCCTACTATAGAACACCAGAAATTATTTCTTCTGGCAAGATATATCCCTGGTAATGATCTTCATTCCCCACATCCTACCCAGGTTTTGGTAACCACTATTCTATTCTACTCCTATGAAATAAACCATTTAAGCTTGTGTTTATGCAAGAAGAATTTTGGGCTTAATTTACTTCATTTAACATAATACCCTCCATTTCCATACATGTTGCTGCAAACAGCAGGATTTCATTCTTTTTAAAAGCTGAATAATAT